GTTAACTACCGTTCCCACTCTGTCAACAACGATGCAAGTTTTAGCGGTATTACGAGTGTTTGTAATGATGCAAAAAGCTTTGATCAAGAACGTTAACTACCGTTCCCACTCTGTCAACAACGATGCAAGTTTTAGCGGCATTGTGACATCATTAAGACTCAAACAGTAGGTGATAAGATAGATGAGGTGTATAATGTTCTTGATTAAGGCCTTCACTAACATTACACATCGTCGTGACATCATTAAGACTCAAACAGTAGGTGATAAGATAGATACGGTATATAAAGTTCTTGATTAAGGCCTTCACTAACATTACACATCGTTGTGACATCATTAAGACTCAAACAGTAGGTGATAAGATAGATACGGTATATAATGTTCTTGACTAAAGCATTTTCTAATCATTACAAACCCTCGTAACGTCAATAAAACTTACTTCATAAGTGATAAGAGAGGAAGGCTGATTTATTTTTGACTAACGCACTTGGTATCATTGTAAACCGTTGTGACTTCACTATAATTCAACTCGTAGGTGAAAAGGTAGGAAAGTGGTTATTGTTCTGGACTAAAGCATTTCATAATCATTACAAACACTTGTAATTTCTCCAAAACTTGCATCGTTGTTGACAGAGTGGGAACGGTAGTTAATGTTCTTGATCAAAGCTTTTTGCATCATTACAAACACTCGTAATGCTGCTAAAACTTGCATCGTTGTTGACGATGTGTAATGTTAGAGAAGGCCTTAATCAAGAACCTTATATACCGTATTTATCTTATCACCTACTGTTTGAGTCTTAATGATGTCACGACGATGTGTAATGTTAGAGAAGGCCTTAATCAGGAACATTTACCATCATGCTATTCTGTTCGTTTAATTTAGGTTTGAATCTTAAAACTAATAGATTCTCCTTTATGTGCAGTTCTTGTTTACTGTTGGCCGTAGTGAGGATTTTAAACTGCCCTTTACTTATGGGTTTACGCTCGTACAAATCATTGTTGGCCGTAGTGAGGATTTTAAACTGCCCTTTACTTATAGGTTCGTTACGCTCGTACAAATCATTGTTGGCCGTAGTGAGGATTTTAAACTGCCCTTTACTTATGGGTTCGTTACGCTCGTACAAATCATTGTTGGCCGTAGTGAAGATTTTAAACTACCCTTTACTTATGGGTTCGTTACGCTCGTACAAATCATTGTTGGCCGTAGTGAGAATTTTAAACTGTCCTTTACTTATGGGTCCGTTACGCTCGTACAAATCATTGTTGGCCGTAGTGAGGATTTTAAACTGCCCCTTACTTATGGGTTCGTTACGCTCGTACAAATCATTTTTCTTAATAGTTGAATACAAGTGAAAAATAATATTTTTAAAATACCGAAAGTGTAGGAATAGGTGCAACAAAAAATGAGGAAACAAGATAGGTATGGTGTAATAAAACTTCCTCTGTACAACCTCACAACATCTGGTCCAACTTGATTTATAATTTCTGTCTTTCTAACTGAATTTATGAGAATTAGCATTATGTAAATTTAATACTTACCATCGTCTCTACCTTATCACCAAATTTTGAGTCTTAATGATATATCGATCGTTTGTAGCGATTACACAATGTCAATAACATTAACTAGCGTCCTCGCAATATCACATGTAATATAATTTTTAGTCTTTTTTCTGACACAGAGTTTTCATTCAAAAACATTAACCATTTCCCCACGCTCACAGTGTGACTTTTAATGATTACACAATACCTTAGTCAAGAACTTTATCTACTGTTCCTACGTTAACATCTACGTCGTAAGTTTTAGTGACATCACGAGGGGTGTAATGATTATATGATGCTTTAGTTAAAAACATGACCCACCATACCAAACTTATCACACACAATATGAGTTTCATTAAATTATTTTAACATTTGTAATCAAATATTTACAATAAATGAGTTTCGTTTTGTTCAAAATTTTAGTGATCATCTAAGTGTCTAAAATATTTAAACAGTGAATAATGACTTTTTATGAAAGGGTAAAATTACCTATTAAGAGATAATTAATAAGAATGTTTCAATACTTTATTCATTTCTTGGCCAGGTGATTAGGGCACTCGCCTCGCAATCTGTGGGTCGAATCTCTGTCCCACCAAACATGCTCGCCCTTTCAGCCGTGGGGATATTATTAAGTCACGGTCAATCCCACTATTCGTTGGTAAAAGAGTAGCCCAAGAGTTGGCAGTGGGTGGTGATGACTAGCCGCCTTCCCTCTAGTCTAGCGCAGATAGCCCTCGTGTAGCTTTGCGCGAAATTCAAAAACAAACAAACAATTATTCATTCCCTAAGTAGATTTATCCTCAGAAAAGTACAACTGAGTTTCTCGATTGAACAACGGATATTTGAAACTAAGTATCGTTGGGTTTTTTCTCGGACCTCCTTTGGAAAATTTCTATTCAGGAGAAAGTACAAGTACAGTTCCCAAAATCTCACCCAGTAATGAATGTCTTTTTTTTTCTAAGTTTTTCATTTATTTACAGATGCTTACCTGAAATAAGCAAATCTTTTACAGAAAAGTAAAGTCTCATCAAGTGGAGGGTTAATGATTTTAGTAAAATCTGATCAAGTTTCATCAAGTAGAGGGTTAATGATTTTAGTAAAATCTGATAGTTTTATCAAGTGGAAGGTTAATGATTTTAGTAAAATCTGATCAAGTTTCATCAAGTGGAGGGTTAATGATTTTAGTAAAATCTGATCAAGTTTCGTCAAGTGGAGGGTTAATGATTTTAGTAAAATCTGATCAAGTTTCGTCAAGTGGAGGGTTAATGATTTTAGTAAAATCTGATCAAGTTTCGTCAAGTGGAGGGTTAATGATTTTAGTAAAATCTGATCAAGTTTCATCAAGTGGAGGGTTAACGATTTTAGTAAAATCTGATCAAGTTTCATCAAGTGGAGGGTTAATGATTTCAGTAAAATCTGATCAAGTTTCATCAAGTGGAGGGTTAATGATTTTAGTAAAATCTGATCAAGTTTCATCAAGTGGAGGGTTAATGATTTTAGTAAATTATTCTTCCAACTTCCCATTGGCAGAAACATGGCTGTTCTGTTTATGCAATTTAACACGTCTAATAATAATCTAACTTCAATTAGTAGTTAAAATGACCTAAAATCTCGTTAGATATCGTAATTGAATTTACATATAATAATCTGTCATATTCATATCACAGATTGCGTTTGGCATAATAAACAAATATGTTAAGAGACATTAACAACTGCCAAACAACCATTCAATGAGAAACATTTATTTCTCACTGCGATTACATAATGATTTGTTTATTACTCCATCCGACTGATGGGTACATTCCTCCAAGGACTCACCTTTTTGGGATGAGTGTAATTTGAGTTTTATTTCTTCTTCTCTTACGCTGTAGTTCCTTTCATTCGGATAAGGAATATCGATTACCAATAAAAAATGAAAGAATATTGAAGAGTTTAATTAGTGGTGAGTTTACTTTGATCAATTCAATATTTTCTTTTGGGGCTTTTCGTTTGTTTGTTTGTAGTTAAGCGCAAAGCTACATAATGGTCTATCTGTGCTCTGCCCACTACGGGTATCGAAACGCGGTTTATAGTGGTGCAAGTCCGCAGACATACCATTGTGCCACTGGTGGGAGGGGTTTTCATTAAAAATGGATAAATAGTCATGCATAAAACAAGTATTATTCCTTAAAATGTGGGCAGTAGTAAAAATGATAACCTTTGCTTCAACTCATAAACATTCGTTGGACGATTCTCTGAAGTTGCAATGTGTGTAGTTTACCCACAGGAAGGGAAGAAAATCGTCCAGCAAAAAAATTTTTAAATTCTAAAGTCTAAATTTCAATAATAATTTTTTTATAAACGTTCAGTTAGGAAAAGTATACCATCTTAAACACTCATTTCTTGACAATATGGTCGATAGAAACTGCTCACAAAGGTTTCTACTACAATGCAACTAAACAAGATTTAATGACACATACGATGAAGAAGATTTGGTTGGGAATTACCTTTCTACTAAAACCTTGAACATCTTAATAACTAAACTGTAGACTGAACTCATGTGGACTTTTGAGTTTCAGTTCTTCTTCAGAGATCTGTACGAGTAAAGAAGAATGTTTTGGCACAGAAATGGGGAAAATCGCGTAACATCTCATTTGGAGGCAAGATAGTTAAATATAACAGTATCGATTTGCTCAATTTTACCTCGCTGTGCACAAAGGGACTAAAAGTAGCAATTTACACCTTGTAAGAAAGATAAGAAGTCATTAAATTAAGACCATAATTGAAATAGTTCATTGATACTTGACTGAGAAAGAATGATAAACGAAAACGAAAAATATAAATCATTTCCTTGTTTTCTTGGTTATAACTTTTAATAAAGCTATTTTAATTGGTTTATAAAGTGTAAAGCTAATACTTTAAAACTACCAATTCTGTGGGACCATATAAATATCTGCATTGAATTTTTTATGAGTAGAGGCTTAATGAAATTATAATTGATAATTAAAACAGTACGCATTATTAAAAACCAGTATATTAACGTGTAAAACCAAGCAAAAGATAAGTCACGTAACTTTATTGCAACTATTAACCAGTACAATCAGGTTGAAGTTGATATAATAAATGTATCCGTCCGTAATTGACACTCCTGGGTTTGTGAACTAAATCAACATTTCAGGGGTAAGATTAAAAAAAACATCTCAGAAGAATATTACAAGGCTAAAATAATAAGTTATTAAGAATAACACGTGGGATTCAGTATCTTCGACATATACTCATTTGAAATATAAATCTGGTTTTGAGGTATCAACCGAAATAAAGTGAGAACGATGAACACGTATCTAAACCAGGAGCTACAATAGCGTGTTCAAATAGATAGTGTTTATTATGAGGGAAAATACCAGGAGCTACAGTAGCGTATTCAAATAGATAGTGTTTACTATGATGGAAAATACCAGGAGCTACAGTAGCGTGTTCAAATAGATAGTGTTTACTATGATGGAAAATACCAGGAGCTACAGTAGCGTATTCAAATAGATAGTGTTTACTATGATGGAAAATACCAGGAGCTACAGTAGCGTGTTCAAATAGATAGTGTTTACTATGATGGAAAATACCAGGAGCTACAGTAGCGTATTCAAATAGATAGTGTTTACTATGATGGAAAATACCAGGAGCTACAGTAGCGTATTCAAATAGATAGTGTTTACTATGATGGAAAATACCAGGAGCTACAGTAGCTTGTTCAAACAGATAGCTTATTGCAGTTTGCCTGTTACTCATAATTAAGACTAACTTGTTATTAATTGTAATTATTATTGCATTATTTTAGCATCTCTTCTCATAGAAGCTATTACATAAGAATATATATATATATATATTTATATGTTGCTGTTGTTTCCTCAAGTTCTACAGAAGTTTTGTTGACCTTCTAACTACGCTCTTAGGGTTATCTTCACTGCCTAGTTGGTCGTGGTTTATTACAGGGTTATTAATCAAGTCCATAACCTGAGAAAGGATGTTGTAATCTGAGCCATTCTTCTCATCTTCTTCTGAAGACTGAACGTATGTAGGATGCAACTGAAGAGTTTCTACGTGACCATATTTTGCTGTTGACTGCTGATCAGTAGGTGGATTATAACTGTTTGGATATAGATATAAATCTTCGGTCAACGTTCTGTTGCTTTTCTTGGTGCTAAGCTGGACTTCGTGATTACCAAACTCGTTGTTGTAGTGATCATAGGATTCTTCTGCTGTGTCCCCTTGTGTTTCTTCTACCGTTGAGCTGGCATCAGAATAAATATCTGCTAGCTGATAGTAGGATCCTGAATAAGAGTTTTCAGATATATCTTCTGAATGACCAACGGGTTGAGGGTTTAAGTTTAACTCATCGGAGTTTGTCAATTGGGACACATCTTTCTCGTCGTTTACAGAGAGCTCATAAGCACCAGGATGGTTATGCTGACTTTTCAAGTCGTCCTGATTACTTGTGTTTAAACTATGTTTTAATGGAATATTCTCTGAAGTTTCTTTGCCATGGTTATGTTTTCCCCCAGTATCTTGAGCAGCATACATGTAACTCAACTGAGAAGCGGCAACTATGGGATTAGTTACTTCCTGATCGTTTTCATTGCCATAGTTAGGTTGTTCTTGCTGCTGCTTTTGTGAGAAGTGCGCCGTTCCGGGTAAATGAGCGTCACTACGTTCTTCTGCAGAAGGAAGTTGAACACTGGAAGGTGGTAAAACTGGTTTTCGAAATATTTCTGTTTGTTGAGGATTTATCTCAATATTTGAATGAACATTAGGCAGTGCTGCTACTGCTTGACCAAACTTAGAAACACCAAACCCGCTGAAATCAGGTTCACCAGGCTTGAAGGCCCCGTGAAATGGAACAGAATCATGTTCGCTTAATGGGAATGGCCTTGGGTCATTTGGTGGAGGGGTTGTAGGATCTGGAAAACGATCCTCACTATATGAAGTCAGTATAGGTCTGAATCCTCCTTCGAATTTTATAACAGGTGCATTTTGTTCCAGTTGCCTTTTCTTGTTTTTGTTGATATGATGACTAATGTGTTTAGAATTGTCAAGAAAAAACGACCCAGTTTGAGGCTCAGAAGATCTCGAACTAAAAGTTGATAAATGGCTTGCCTGGACCGGAGCACGAGGGAAATCCCTGTTTAACTGACCCACAGGGATATAGTACACATATTGCTCTTCCTTAACAGACGCGTTTTTAGTAACGTCTCCGTGGACACTGTATGGTTTGTTAAGAAAAGATGACTGCTGTAAATTATAACCTGTTGACGAAGTATCCCTCTGCGGTACACTGTACACATCATGAGTTGCAGATTGTTTGTCCTTATGTGATATGTTATATTCAGTCTCGTTATTGATGACTTTTTCCTGCGTATGCAGTTGATAACTAGGTGCATACAGTTCATGATGAAGGACTTGTTCGTGACTAATGCCTGGCTTTCTGTTTCCTGTGAAATTTATCTCTGGTGATATAACATCATCTGAAGCCTCGAACAATGGAAGTCCATTAGTCTTAAAAGCGGTGTTAGGTTTTTCTAGCTTTGTTAGACTAGTCTTGGGCTTTATACCCTGCAAGACTTGTTCGTTGTTACTATTGTAAACCCTGAGTGTACTAGCAGCCGGTTGGAAAGTCTCGTCACATGAATCAACCACGTGTATCTTCCACCCGAGGTACCGATGAGTGTAACACTGCAATTTCACACACAAAAAAAAGATTGTTAAATACCTCGAGCGCTTCAACTAAATATTTTAAATTAATTCAGGAACTTCAAGAACTGGTTCTCATTGTTTCTACGTGTGTACAATCATAATTAGGGTCAGAAATGATAAACTTCGTTTTATTCACAATTATAACTTTTGGAATTATATATGAATAATACAAACTATGACATCTTAACTAAAAAAACATTAATGAATTTAAAGAGATTTAGCATTTATAGGCAGGTTTTAGAGTAACCACATTCTTTATAAATATCGGTATTTTTCATAACTTCCAATCTTCCAGTTTTTGCTTTAGATATGCAGTACTGTAGATAGTAAGCTGTGTAATTCATGAGGACAGAGGACATGTGCTTTTTTTCTGTAACTTACTTAATTTTTCTTTAAAATTAATGTCAATAATCCTAATAATCTTTAAAATTATCAATCTTGTAGTCTTCTGTTAACTTTTACCTTCATAACAAATATTCACAGACATTATTTTGTCCAAAAGAGCGTCTTTTGTTTCATTAAAACTATAAACATGTAAAACTTGTTATTGTAAAAAGAATATTCAGTTGATAACATACAGAAAACTTAGCAGTTTTAATGTTTAAATGTGCTGTAAATCGGAACATATCTTTTTATAATAACATATCGATGGCTTCCAAATAACTTGTTTATATTAATTAAAATTTACATCGAAACTATTTTCACATCTATAAATCTGATAAAAGTTAAAATGTTGTCACGTATGCGAAGTTCTAATTTACAAACTTTTCAATAAGGCAAAAAAAAACTAGCCGTAAGTTCACTAAGTCAGTTCTTTAAGTTACAAAGTCAGTCAAAAAATCACTGACTATGAAATTTGCCAAGGCAAGTCAAGCCATTGAGCACAAAACTTACGTCTGATGTTAATATAAAGTTAAGAATGTTTCTATATTTTTATATCTACTTAGCATAATACTCGACGTTTAATCGCTTTCACATATTTGTGTATAAATATGTTTTATCTTAAAATAAATCTTTATAAACCATCTAAAGCCTGTACACTAATTCAAAATAAAAGAATAAATGAAAAACTTTCTTCAGGGTTATCTACACTATTTAAACCTGAATTAGGGATGAATATGTATATTTTTGTTTCTGTACGTTTCTCTGTATTTATGCCAAAATGTATGTTTTGGTAGCTCTACGTAGCTCAATATATATATTTCGTTTTTCTGTATTTAGACCAATATATATATATATATATATTTTGATAACTATACGTTTCTTTGTATGTAGATCAATATGTAAGCTTTTTAGCAATACTATTTCTGTGTATGTAGATCAATATGTAAGCTTTTTAGCAATACATTTCTGTGTATGTAGATCAATATGTATATTTTTGTTTGTTTGTTTGTTTGTTTTTCAATTTCGCGCAAAGCTACACGAG